AAAGAAAGAAAGAAAGAAAGAAAGAGAAAGAAAGAAAGAAAGAAAGAAAGACCATGTTGACTACCGCTTTTGCTAATAAAATATTTTTTATTTTCTAATTTTATTGAAATATATAATTTATATACAGAAGCAGTTGTGGTGGCTCACACCTGTAACCCTGGTTACTCAGGAGGCTGAGGTGGAAGATCACTTGAGCCTGGGAATTGGAGGTTACAGTGAGTTAGGATCACACCACGGCACTCCAGCCTGGGCAATATCTCTAAATAAATAAGTAAATACAATAAATGCATCAATTCAAAGTGTACAGTTTGATAAGTTTCGATTGCTCTATATACCCATGTAATAATCATTACAATCAAATATAGAATATTTTCATCACCCTCCAGACAATTCTTCTGTGTCCTCTCTTCCCAATCAATTCTCATCCTTGGGTAATCCCCAATCAGTCTTGACTGCTATACATTAGATTTGTCCTTTTAGAATTTCATCTACATAGAATCATATGTATATAGTCTTTTGTGTCTGGCTGCTTTCACTAAGCATGTTCTTGCAATTTATTTATGTTGTGTGTACATCAGTAGATAATTCTTTTTGATTGCTGAGTAGTCCTTCAAGGCATAAATGTACTACAACTGTTTGCCCACAATAGCCTTTAGATAGTACTTTCAGAGAGAGTTTATAAGGTCCACTCTTATTAGAGCTAATTATGAAGTGGAAAAAATATAAGATGGGGTTAATTTTTGTTTTTTTACAGCCAGGGTCTGGCTCTGTTGCCCAGGCTAGTGTGCAGGGGTGGGATCACAGCTCACTGTAACCTTCAACTCCTAGGCTCAAGCGATCCTCCTGCCTCAGCCTCCTGAGTAGCTGGGACTACAGGTACACCTTACCACATTTTTTATTATTTGTAGAGGTAGGATCTCACTATGTTGCCTAGGCTGGTCTCAAATTCCTGGCCTCAATTGATCCTTGTCCTTCAGCCTCCCAAACCCCTGAGAGTATTAGGGTGAGCCTGTGCCTGGCCAGGGTCTATTTTTAGTAGCCACATATCAAGAAGATTTAGTGACCTCATCTTAAGACCTCACATATATGATTTCATACATGTATAATTTGCACAATGATCAGAATGATGACACCCCAAATCATATTATATACACACTCACACACATAACTTAATTTTACAAATACATTTTAAAACAATTTAAAACAATCATGGAAAAGAGCTTCCAGAATTAAACAAACAAAAAAACGTCATCTGCACATGTTAAATTAAGTTTTATATATATGTATTTTATGTATGTAAATAAACACGTGTTAAACTAAAGAATGCCACCTTCTCCAGTTAATAGAGACTACTTGTTGCTCAACATATTCATTGAGTCCAGGGACTATAATGTAACCCATTATTGTATCAATATGAACAATCTTTGTTTTTTTGTTTGTTTGTTTTTGGGATGGGGTTTCTCTCCTGTTGCCCAGACTGGAGTGCAATGGCGCAATCTCATCCAACTGCAACCTCTGGTTCCTGGGATGAAGCGATTCTCCTGCCTCAGCCTCCTGAGTAGCTGAGATTATAGGGGCCCGCCACTATGTCCAGCTAATTTTTGTATTTTTAGTAGAGACGGGGTTTCACCATGTTGGCCAGGGCCAAAAGCACTTCCCAGCTGGGCTCGGTGACTCATGCCTGTAATCCCAGCACTTTACGAGGCTGAGGCGGGCAGTGACGAAGTCAGGAGATTGAGACCATCCCGGCCAACATGGTGAAATGTGAATCACTTGAGGTCAGGAGTTGGAGACTAGCCTGGCCAACATGGTGAAACCCTATCTCCACTAAAAATACAAAAATTAGCCGGGCATGATGGCTCACACCTAAATGTCAGCTACTCAGGAAGCTGAGGCAGGAGAATTACTTGAATCCAGGAGGTGGAGGTTGCAATGAACCAAGATTGCACCACTGCACTCCAGCCTGGGCAACAGAGTGATACTCTGTCTTAAGAAACAAAAAGAAAGAAGGAAAGAAAGAGGCTGGGAGCTGTAGCTCATGCCTGTAATCCCAGTGCTTTGGGGGGCCAAGACCTGAGAATTGCTTGAGGTCAGGAGTTGGAGACCAGCTGGTTAACATAGGAAGACCCCCATCTCTACAAAATATTTAAAATAAATAAATAAATAAAAGAGAAATGAAGAGAAATAGTAATAGCTTTATTTAAATATTTTACAGATAATTTAAAGTTTTAAAAGTATTTTCTGGGCGAGTTCCATGGCTTAAGCCTGTAATCCCAGCACTTTGGGAGGACGAGGCAGGTGGATCACGTGAGGTCAGGAGTTCGAGACCAGCCTGGTCAACATGGTGAAACCCCGTCTCTACTAAAAATACAAAAAATTAGCCTGTGTGGTGGTGGGCACCTGTAATCCTAGCTACTAGGGAGGTTGAAGCAGGTGAATCACTTGAACCCAGGAGACGGAGGTTTCAGTGAGCTGAGATCCCACCACTGCACTCTAGCGTGGGGTACAAGAGTAAGACTCCGTCTCAAAAAAAAAAAAAAAAAATTCTGGCTGGGCATGGGAGCTCACACCTGTAACACTAGGACTTTGTGAGGCTGAGATTTGAGGATTACTTGTGGTCAGGAGTTCAAGACCAGCCTGGGCAACATAGAAAAATCCCATCTCTACAAAAAGTAAAAATAAAACAAATATGTTTTCTGATTAAAATTTACAATTATACATTCAGAAAAATATAATGAGCAAAGTACATGTCACACAAAATGCCATAACATTTTGGCAATTCTAGTTTTTTAATGCAAATTTGATTCATATAGGTAAAATCACATAATACATATAATTTCATATCCAATTTTCGTCTTATATAATATAAATTAATTATATCACAAATAGGTTCATATTAATACAATTTCAAAAGTATTTGAATGGCTATACATTGAACACCATCTCAAATGGCTTCAGGGGCCAGGTAGTAACTAAAATATACAAAATTGATGAGTATAACATGGCAGGGGGTGGTGGTAACCGAAAATGCATGTCCTAGCAAAAGGCATTCAAATTTAGTTTTATTTCTAAACATACGCTGATAAAATTCAGTGGGGAAAATAAGCAAGTCACAAAAGAATATGTGCAATATAATATCATTATATTGTTTTAAAACATGTAAAACAATTAGATATTACACTTAGGGATACATCAGGGATACACATGCAGTTAAAGCCGTTTAAAAAAATAAAGCACAGGAATGCAAAACACCAAATTCAGGGCAACGATTATGTTTGGCGGGAGAAAGTAAGAGATTTAAAGTGTGGAGCAATATTTTACTTGAATGGTAGGTATATAGGTATTGGTGCATTTTACTTATACTGTTTTGTACATATAAATATTGTGGCCAGGCATGGTGGCTCATGCCTGTAATCTCAACAGTTTGGGAGGCCGAGACTGGCAGATCACTTGAGCCCAGGAATTCAAGACAGGCCTGGGCAAAATGGCAAAACCCTGTCTCTACAAAAAAAATTAGCTAGGGGCCAGGAGCTGTGATTTATGCTTGTAATCCCAACACTTTGGAAGGCCGAGGTGAGTGGATCACTGGAGGTTAGGAGTTCAAGACCAGTCTGGCCAACATTTGAAATCCCGTCTCTACAAAAATACAAATTTAGTTAGGTGCTGTGGTGGACACCTATAATCCCAGCTACTGAGAAGGCTGAGGCAGGAAAATGTCTTGAACCCTCAGGTGGAGGTTGCAGTGAGCCGAGATCATGCCACTGCATTCCAGTCTGGGTGACAGAGTAAGATTCCGTCTCAAAACAACAACAACAACAAAATTAACTGGGTATGGTGGTTTGTGCCTGTATAGTCCCAGCTACTGGGGAAGCTGAGGTGGCAGAATTACATGAGACCAAAAGGTCAAGGCTGCAGTGAGCCATGATTACGCCACTGCACTCCAGCCTGGGCAACAGAGCAAGACCCTGTCTCAAAAAAAAAAAAAAAAAATGCATCTTTTTAAGAAAAAAAAAACTGTTAGCCACAGAAAATCTCATGCCAGATCTGCCCACTGGCCACTCTAGCATGATAAATGGTATTACATACTCAACAAGTGAATACTCCCTCCACCACTAAATAGTTTTGTGCCCTTAGGCAGTTATTAAAATTCTCTGCAACTAAGGCCTGAAGGCTACATCTAGCCCTCTGCTAGTTTTGTACAGCCCTCCAGCTAAGGATGGTTGGTACATTTAGAAATGCTTGGAAGAACTACCTTTAACCACTGTTATTGAACTGTGAACGGCTTCAGAAATTAGCTTTTGCTGCAGACTTATGTTTCTCAAACCTAAAATTATAAGGCAAACAGCTCTTACATGCCACACTTATATGGTGCTAAAGTCATTTCAACAATAACTAATGTTGTCTGAACACCAGCATCTCAAACTGCTTTATGCCTTCCTATATGTTAAAAGTTAAAACATGAAGCAAGATCTCCATACCCACGCACATTTGCAGTAGATAAATTTTACAAGCTCAAAGTAGAGGTCTAACAGTGTCTTTTGGACCTGGACGTAAGTGCAAAGAAAATGTTCACAATTCAAAGTCCCTTTAACTGTGCAATTAAGGAGCTTCTAGTTCAATTGGTAGCAATTAATCTGCAATGTAAGGACAGGCTAAAAGGCAAATATCAAGAGAAAAATGTAATAGAATTGTATAAATGCCTTCCCAACGATGAATATGTTCAATTAAAATCATACGCCTGTGGATTCATATCAGTATTTGTCAGTACCTAACTGTATGAAAAGACATTTTGAAGATGAAATACATAAAATCTCATTTAAAATCAGCATTTATAGATGTGCATCTGCTATTGATTTTGATGATAAAGAACACTTAACTTTGTGTTAAGTGAAATGGTATCCCTCCAAAAAGACTTCCATCTTTTCCTTGAAAGCATTAGCACTACAAAAAAATCGTATTTAATTAGTATTATACTTTGAATTTCATTAGGACAAATTTTGTGAAAGTTTGCTTTCTCTCTTGTTATATAAGTATTTACATAAGAGGTTTGATTTTGCCTCTTGGACCACAAAGTCTAAAATATTTACTACTTAGGTCTTCAGAAAATGTTTGCCAATCCTTGTGATAACATGATTGTCAGGATTAAATAAAAGAATCCTTGTGAAAGTGGTTAGCAGCAAACTAGAATATAGCATAGTTGATAGTATAGTTTTTTAAATCCATCATCTATTTTGGACATAGGTTTCCATTGGTTTTTAAAATTATAAACAGAAAAATGATAAATGCATTAAATATTTATATTCATATTTATATTCATATTTATATTCATAAATATTTGTCCACATCTTGGATTAGGATCTAACTTTAGGTTGTATTCCTAGAGACAGGTTGATTTCAAATTGACGTTACCCTTTAAGAAATATTTATCTTACCATGTTAGTCTTATTTGCCCAGGAAATTAGATAATTTTAGACCAAAGAGACTACAATTTATGCCCTTGCCTTCCTGACATGTTCTATTCTTGGATTTTGATTCCAAGGAGAGTTAGCCTGTCTGCGAAGGTTATTCAGTCATTCAACAGGCATTCATTAAGTATTTACTCTTTGGGCGCTGACTAAATTTAGACATGTTGTCTACCCTCAGGAGCTTCTACAGAGGAGAGATAAGACATAGATTACACCTCTATCCCTGGTGTTATCTGTGAAGTCCCACGCAAATACTTGAACAGAATGAGAGAGGAGGTGCCCTCTGCCTTCCCAGCTCTGTCAGTCAATATAGTCCATTTTTTGCTTAACCTGATTAAAATAAGTGTGTTCTTTGAATGAAAAGAGCCATTACTAATCTAGATGGATAAAAGTTTGACAAAAAATGAGAAGGAACAAGCAATTTAATTAAGGAGACTAGAATAGGCATAGGCACAGATGCAGAGAAGAGCAGCAACCACCTGGGGGAATTAAGGAGAAAAGGCTGGCAATGCAGCCTGGTCAGATTATGGAAAGCCTTAAATGTCCGTTTTTGAAGTGTGCAATGTATTGGAGTTACACTGCTTCGGTGACTCTCAGGTCTTTGGGAAGTTGAAAGCAATATTTTCTTCCTCTGATTTAGCAGTGCATTTTGAAGTAGGGCAGCCTTCAGATATTCTGGTGAAATAAGGAGCCAAGTAAACTGTTACTTTAAAAAGAAAATACATTATTATCATTGTTAAGATAACACTTGCACCCCCCTGTATTCATCAGGGGATGTTCCTAATGTCTGTCATCAATAACAATGTCAATTTTGATCCTCAGTGTCTAGGTAATCCCTTCTCCCACCCACTTGCCAAAGACATTGATAGGTATGGGTCATCACGTGCAGTAAAGACAGGGTTGAACCTTATCAAACCAGGAGTGAGAAAACCAGCCTATCTGCCTAATGGATGACGTTTGGATGATGTTGTTTGTTTGTTTAGAGGGAGTCTCCCTCTGTGGGCCAGGCTGGAGTGCAGTGGTGTGATTATAGTTCACTACATTTCCTCCAACTCCTGGGCTCAAGGGATTCTCCCATCTCAGCCACCCAAGTAGCTGGGACTACAGGCCCAACCCACCCTGCCCCACTCCTAAAATTCTGGAAGCTTACCAAAATCTGCCACACTACATAAAAATCCATTCCTAATATCTGAAAAATTGGATCCAGTAGGGACCCAACAGAGCTTTTTAAGTACAGCATTTCTAATTATGTTTCTGTAGAAGACAGGCTCCTCAGGAAGGCAGTAGTATGCAAATATTTTAAACTTATGGACAAATACATTTGTGAAACACTATTTGAAACAACGCCAAACAGATTTCTTTTTCTGAACCTTTCACATGCCCTTACACATTATGGCTCTCTAAGAAGGCAATAAAGCATGTGCTTGTCAAATTCATTGGTCTCATGTCCTTTTTTCAAAGAGGTGGCTTGTATTTCTAATAGAAGTTTTGTAGACTATACTTTGGGAAACAATGAAGTATTAGTTATATAATCAGGAATATGTGCTTATGTGCTTTAGGAATATTCATTTGGAGGCTACATACATTAAGGATGAAGTAGAGAGACAGAGGCAAAGAAAACAGGCGATATGTTCAGGTAAATATAGTCCAGGTGATAAGAGTGATTACCAAAAGCTAACATAAATACATTGTGAATTTCAATTAGGCAGGACTTTGCAATTGAATGGAAATAGGCAGCAAGGACAGGACACAGGTGGTATGGAGTCATAGTATTCAAACACATTTTGTTGACTAGAAAAATTGGTACACTCTTCATAGAAATTAAGAAAATAAAAGCTGCACCTTAGTGGGATCTGGATAAACTTACCAAGGGAATAAAAGACCTACATTAATTCTGCCGGAAAGACAGCTGAACCATATTCTTTTCTTCCAGTTGGACTTTTCGTCCTCCTTTCTTTTTCTTTTCTACCTTCTGTCAGCCCTCTTAAAGTTACCTTTATCACCAGGTCTGGCTACTGAGGGAAGCAATCTCATTGGTCTCTTTTTTTCTATCTCCCAAATGGATATTAAAACAAACAAAAAAAATCACACAATTCTTCTTTTCAGAGTTCTTAAAACTGCTTTTTAGGAGTTTTAGTGCTGATGAATAGAGGAAATAAATATCTTATTAGGACCCCACTTCAACATATGCTAGCCAGTTGCTTAGTGTGATAGAAGAAGGGGCAATACAAACAAACTGAAAGTTACAATGGCTTTTTAAAAACTTACAGAAGTGTAATTGTTTGGGACTACTCTTAAAACTCATCTCTTTTAGAATGACAACACGCTATGTTTAATCATTGATATTATATAAAAATTCATTTTGTGCACTAATATATGGATGCTTAATAATATGGTCTGCTCTTGGGAAACTTAATTGTCTCTGCTTTAGATAATTTAATTAAAAAGAGGTTTAGGTTGGTTCGTGCTTCTACAATATAGTCTTTGTGACTCAAGGGTCACATTGTAACTTGAATGCTACTGCAGAGGTTAAGAACGAGAATTTAGATATCCATTGACTCAGATTTAAAATAATGGAGCACTTTAATGTAAACAGGGTTCTCCCCTCCCAAACAAAACATAAACCACACCATTTTCTTTTCTACTGAACATACATTATTATTCAACCAAAGCCCTATTCTTGATTACCCCATTCCAGAACAAACAGAAATGAACTCACTTCCACTTGGCCCTCCCTTGTTTTAATGCACTTTTGTGACTTTTGTTCCTTCATTTGACAAATCTCATCTTCTTTTCCCTCACAGGCTAAAAAATACGCTTCCAAGGCATATTTAATGCTGAATCATTTTGTAGGTGATAATTATATGAGGCAACTGCTCTGCCTGTCACCTCAGCATAATTGATAGCACTCTCTTCCACTCCCAAGTGCCTCAATTTGCTGATATGGTCACCCGATGTGTCATACCTAATTTTTCTCTTCTCATGCCCCAATTTCCCATTTCCAATTTTAACCACATTAATTTTTTAAAGCATAGGATTATATACTAAATGGGGAAAAAAAGAAGTCATCTAGTTGTATTTCACACTATGAGAATTCCTTTGACAAAATCCTTCATAGGATGCCTCTATCTGAACTTTCTGGCAGCTAATTCGTTACCTTTTGAGGTGGTATTTTCCACTACTAGGCATCTCCCCCGCCCTTTCTTTTTTTCTGAGACAGTCCTGCTCTGTCACCTAGGCTGGAGTGCCCTGGCATGACTCAGGTCACTGCAACCTCCACCTCCTGGGTTCAAGCAATTCTCCTGCCTCGGCTTCCTCAGTAGCTGGGATTACACGCACACACCACCAGACCTGGCTAATTTTTGTATTTTTAGTAGAGATGGGGTTTCACCATGCCGGCCAGGATAGTTGAACTCCTGACCTCGTGATCCACCCACCTCAGCCTCCCAAAGTGCTAGGATTACAGGTGTGAGCCATCGCGCCCGGCCACTACTAGTCATCTCTAAGTTTTAAGAAAGTCTTTATTTTCAGCTTTAATTTTTTCTTCCCCAGTCTGAAACTCTGGTTATCGTTTGGAATTCCCTTTTCAACCATGAGTTTTTGTAAAGCCCAGGTTAAGGCATCAATTGTATGTTACAAACTAACTTCTTTTTAGTTATTTGAAATATTAGTTACATATTACCCTTGGGAAAATAGAGAAAATAGTTACTCAAGTCACTTTTTTGCATTCAGATGAGGCACCTCATTTGAAAGGCTGCAGGGCTCTATCATTTAGTAGCTGTATGACCTTGGAAAGTTTATTTTATCCCCTTCAGGCTGTTTTTCAGCAACAAAACGAAAGTAAAATACCCCTCTTGTGGGGTGCTGTGAGAATCAAATAACGTATAAAGCTCCTTAGGAACAGAGACTTTATCATGCTTACCACTTTATTCTAAGTGTCTACTGCAGGCAGTAGCAAGTAAGAGTAAGTTCTCAATAAATCTCTCTATAAACAATAAAAAGTCCTAGCACATTGACTTGCACATACCACCCAATAAAAGGTAGCTATTACTATTCTTGCATTCTTCCTATGATCTTGTTTCTAGAATTCTCAATATATTAATTCTCAGCCTCTTATGGAAGCTACCTTGTTTAATCAACATTCTTCTTAAAATGTAGTTTTAACAATTCAATACTACGTGGTGTATCGGGAGACTGCTTTATCTGAACATAATTATTTTAAGGAAGTCTAAACAAGAGTCTGAGGGGAAAAAGCTAGTCTAACAGCTTATATAAAGAGCAGGCGCTTACAAAACCCATTAACTTTCTCAATACAACCCTTTAAACACTGGGAAATGTATGATTAAGAGAACATAAAACATCAGCAAACAAGAAGTGATCAGTCAGGTAAAAGAAGAACCAGGATAGTGCAGTATTATGGAAAGCCACTGGAACCAGTAGTTAGGTTTACTGCTGTGCCTAATAAACAGCCCAGTGTGGTGATTCCTATTCATTTAGTAGCCTCCCCTCTAGAATATACTGTGCTCTTTTTTGATGGCCAGACTGTGTAAAGTTCATACACAGTGTTTACTCCAGGGATCCCGAAATATTGTTAGTTGAAGAGTAAACACAAATTTCAAGGAGGGCAATACAGTGAGCAGATGAACAGCTTTCTGATAGGAGACTGTACAACTAATGTTTTCACCAGCGTATTTTGGGACAGCAGATTCAGATTAAGACGCTGGGATTGAATGCAAATAGTAAAATTACAAATACCAAGGAAAAATTTATTTGGAACCTTTGCCAAAGAAAGAAATGTAAATTAATTTAATAATTTGAAAGAACAGTAAGGTTTAGGTTTTGTTCTTATTTTTAGTGTGACTGAGATTGGAGTTTGTAGACATATCCGAAAAAAAAAGTGAAGGGAGAGATGGAAGACGGTAAATGCTGAGAAAAAGATGGAAGGATAAGTCAGTGTAATAAAAAGGAGCATTTTTTTTTCGCCAACAGAAGTAAAAGTAAAGTGTCTGAGTTAGGTAGACAGGAAGCTGGAATTTTGGGATTCCTTGTTGGAAAGTTGTGAACAAAAGCTGAATGAAAGGATTGTTGATCGCTGGGAAGGGTGGTCCTATTAGCTCAGCTTTGAGACGACTTAAGAAAATCCCGCTGGGTGCAGTGGCTCACGCCTGTAATCCCAGCACTTTGGGAGGCTGAGGCGGGCGGATCACCTGAGGTTTGAAGTTTGAGACCAGCCTAACCAACGTGGTGAAACCCCGTCTTGAAAAAAAAAAAAAAAAAAAAAGAAAAAAGAAAATCCCTTCCGCCCCTCCTTCCCTGATCCAATCATTCTGGCTGCATAAAACCACCTGAATCAATCAACTGTTATACTTCCGTTAGTGCTAAGATATATTCATATAACTCCCACGTATTATATTAAATGAAAATAAATCCATCTAAAAATAAGACAACAAGATTGCTGCTACACCAACAAAGGATTTTAAAGAGGCGTGTTTACAAGCTAATTGAGGGCCAGAAGAAAGGAGTTCGTTTAAACTGAAAGTCGAGCTGCGATGACACCGCCTAATGCAATCAAACGCTGTTGCAGCACACTTCTTAAGAGATCGGATTTAACGCCAGGTAATGGGTAGGGTGAGAATCGGGCGAGGCGGCTCCGGCTCCGGCTCCGGCTCCAGCTCCGGCCCCGGCCTCCATCATTCACTCGACGGCTCTCGGCCCGAACGCTTGGTCGCACAGCCTGCCGAGGTTCTAGATGAACTGCCTCGGTCCTGGAAACAAGGAAGCCGTCTCCAGAGACCATCGCCAATGGTAACGCCGGCGGGCTGAGGTCGCCGTGGGAAAAGCGGTAGGCCACCCTGCTTCTCTGATCACCGGCGGACAGGGACACACTGTTTAGGGCCATCTTCAAACACTGCCCGCAGTATTGGCGTTACGCCTCTTGGTCTAGGCAGGCCCTTCGCGACTCCCTAGATCAGTCCAGCCTGTCTCGGAACCCGCGACTAACGACACCGGAAGCCATAACTGGGCCGGCGGAAGAGCAAGAAGCCGCCTTGCCTTTAATGAGCACCACCCTCGCGAGCATGCGCAGTCCGTCCGCGCACGTCGACGCCTAGAGTGCAAACGCAACGGGCGTTTACGACGGTGACGCAGGGGAGCGTGAGGACGTGGGGCTTCCGAGATTGCGCAGTGAGTGCGTTGGCCTCGACCCTTTGGCCAGGTTAGGGAGGGGGCGACGTTGATATGGGGGCGGCGGCGGCGGAAGCGGATCGCACGCTCTTTGTGGGCAACCTTGAAACGAAAGTCACCGAGGAGCTCCTTTTCGAGCTTTTCCACCAGGTAAGCGTCTGGGATCGGTCCTTTTGCCTTTCGTTTTCCGTCTGGCCTAGGGCCCGGCCCAGCGGCCACCCCGTTTTCTTCGCGCGAGCTCGGCCTTCTGGGGACCGGATGGGTGGCTGTTTGGGGGTGAAGGGCGCGTCTGAGTTGGGAAACGCTCGCTGGGTGTCGCTTTCCTGGAAGATCTTGCTTCGTTTAGGCCAAAAGTGACGACTAAAGGTGGTGGAGGGATCCTCGGTCAAGCTTCCCGTGGTAGAGATCCGGGGGTCCTTAGGCACATAGTGCGTGTGTAGGGTCTTCGTTGAGCAGTGCTTTTTCTTATTCCTCCTGTTCTCATCGTCCTCTTAGGATGATTTGCCTTTGGTTTATCTGACTGGGAACGTAATATTTTAATTTATTTGTGTCTGTGTTCCCTTAAAGTTTGCTTATAAACTTACAGCATTGTTAAAATACATAAAATAAAATCGTTAAGTACTCCATAGAAAAACAGCATTTTAGTGTTGCTGTATTAAAATGTGTGGTAGATTCTGAGTATCCCATTCCCCCTAGCCCTGTCCCATAATAAGTGATACTGTTTGATTAATCAATACAAAAGTCAGTTTTTAGTCCAAGAAAATCATTCTCTTGTTCTTGATAAATGTTCATTTTCACAGAGTGGCAAAATAATGCTGATTGGTCACTATGTTAAGAAGCCATACATTACTGTGATTTGCAAAAGTGATGGTGTTTCCAGTTCCTTATAGGCCCCCTTCCCCAAATAAATAAATCTAATGTTCAATCATAACTAGGATGTTTACTGTAGCCAAAATGGAAATCGGTGCATCAGTTTTAAAGGAAGTTTCTGATTACATTTCTGTTGTTTTTAAACTTTGTCATCTCTTATTTGTAAAATTCGAGTATTTTCGGTGAGTGTCTTTATTTACATTCTAAATGCCTTTTTGTTTGTAGGCTGGGCCAGTAATAAAGGTGAAAATTCCAAAAGATAAGGATGGTAAACCAAAGCAGTTTGCATTTGTGAATTTCAAACATGAAGTATCTGTTCCTTATGCAATGAATCTACTTAATGGAATCAAACTTTATGGAAGGCCTATCAAAATTCAATTTAGATCAGGTAACTGTCCAATGAGGTTAGGGGGGCATTGTTTCCTGCTGTTTTTAAATTTATTATTAATTTTAAAGAACCTCTTATTTGTAGATGAAACTGCTTTCTTAAGCATTGTGAATAGCAAACTTTATATATCCCTGAAAACAGGTAACATTGACAGATTTTGAAATTATAATTTTAAAACTGAGCTTAAAATTTCATTTTGAGTTAGTGAAAAGAACATAAACTGTATCACTAAGAGAGTTGGGCTTGAGAGCTCTGAAAAGAGCTAGGTTTATTTTCTGAAAATACTTCTGGCTGCTTTGTAATTACTTTTATATGTTTTGATTCTTGATCATGTGAGGATGAAACTTTCCATGTATCCAGTCTTACAATTTAGGGTGGTGATTAGAAAAATATGGTCAGATTGGATATTTATGGAATGCTTTGTTTTGCTTACCCGATATTATACACTTATAATGTTCACTCTGATGAAACTGTAAAGCAGTCTACAGCAGTTTGAGACTTTTTGTTTGTTTGTTTTTTGAGACAGAGTCTCAAACAGTCTTGCTCTGTTGCCCAGGCTGGAGTGCAGTAGTGTGATCTCAGCTCACTGCAACCTCCGCCTCCCAGGTTCAAGCGATTCTCCTGCCTCAGCCTCCTGAGCAGCTAGAATTACAGGTGCGTGCCACCACGCCCGTCTAATTTTCGTATTTTTAATAGACATGGGGTTTCACCATGTTGGTCAGGCTGGTCTTGAACTCCTGACTTCGTGACTCTCATGACTTCTGACCTCATGATTCTCATGACTCCTGACCTCGTGATCCTCATGACTCCTGACCTTGTGATCCCCTTGACCTCTCAAAGTGCTGGGATTACAGGCATGAACCAACGTGCCTGGCTAGCAGTTTGAGATTTTTCTCTTTTAGATTGTGTTTACCTTTTTGGAGTAATTTCAAGTGTGAAGACAAAATTTCAAGTTAAATTTTCTGTCAAAAATAATTTTTCAAATTATTTCATTTTAGGAAGTAGTCATGCATCGCAAGATGTCAGTTTGTCATATCCCCAGCATCATGTCGGAAATTCAAGCCCTACCTCCGCATCTCCTAGCAGGTAATATTTCTCACTTATTGTTAAGATCATTTATCAGGAATTCTTACAGGGAATAGCCTCAAAACACATGAGTAAATAGTTTCCTTTTTTATGGTCCTATGTCTTTATTCTTCTGCCTTTTGGGGTTATTGTTATATATCTATTCTAAGGGGGCTATAGACAAACACATTGTATATAGTTCCCTTAAAATAGGTACTTATGTATAAGTATACGTTCATTTGTAGCAACATAACCATGCCCACATATGTGTACAGTATATGTATACACTTGAAACAAAATTTCTGAAAACATTATTTACCCCCACTACTTGCATTTCTATTTTCTATTTTACTTCATTTTTAAAAATTTTCTATTTATTTTGCAATCATTAATTGGTTGTTACTTACAGTTGAAAAATACTAATTAGTCAGCAGACTACTGAACTACGAATTCCTAGAATTGGATTCAAGGTCTGCCTCTATCGGTTGTGTAATCTTGAGCTAGTCTCCTTTCGTTAGTCCCATCTTCCCATGTGTAAGGAAAAGAAGTTGAATTAAATGATTTGGAAAATCCCTTCAGGTACTGAGTATTAAAAGGTATCATATTTACTTAAATAATTTTATTTGCTTTGGGAAGGTTAATATTTTACCAGGGACAGTTTTTTTTGTTTTTTTTTTAAAGATGGGGTTTTTCCATGATGGCCAGGCTGGTGTTGAACTCCTGACCTCAATTGATCCACCCACCTTGGCCTCCCAAAGTGCTAGGATTACAGGCATGAGCTGCCGCGCCCGGCCTGACAGTTTTTTCCTGGTATATCCATAGAGCTATTTAAGAGTCATTTAAGAAAGATTTAATAAATACTTGCCATATGTCAGGTTCTTCACCAAATCTTTTACATATATGATTTCATTTATTCCTCACAGCAGTTTTATGAGGGTAGGGATTATTTTTATCTCTACCTTATATATGGAGGGAAATGAAGAGTGGAGGTTAACTTGCTCAAGTTCAGTGGGCTGGGATTCAAACCCAGGCAGTATAGTGTAATTAAGCCTAACCACTCTGGGGAGGAGCTTTAAGTCTAAATGAAGACACGTATTATATATATTTTTGCGACTCTCTGTTCTATTACTGTAATAAGCTCTCTAAAAAAAGAGTAGAAAGGGCAGTGAGAAAATTTTCAGAGAAGGAGATGATATAGAGGAATGTGGAACTGAAAGAAGCCAGTGTACCTAGATCATAAGGAATGAAAATGGAGAGCAGTAGGGGATATTGGTAGATAGGCTGGAGAGGGTCTTGTAAACTATTTAGCAGGATTTTGAGGTTTTACCCTAAAATAGAGTAGGAAGGCAATGAAATGTTTTAGGTAGAATACTGATAGGAACAAGTTTATATTTTAAGAGGTGTTTGGTTGCAATGGGAGAATGGACTGGAGGGCACAAGTGTGAAAATACAGCAGTGAGGATTTGGTAGCAGGGTATTGATAGTGGTAGCAGTGTAGCAAGGAAGCTATTGATGGGTGAGGTTGATAGTTTAGATTAAGGTGGTGCCATGAGCTAGAGAGAAGTGGATGGATATGAAGAGATACTGGAAGGTGGAATTGTAAGCAAGCAATAGTGCAAACAGGGTATCTTCCTGGTATTCCTTCTTGCCAGCTGAAGTTAACTAACAGTGTTCAAACATTTCTTGGTAAAGTTGGAATTTAAAGCACTTCCAGCCACTTTAATGAAATCTTCAAAGGCATCCTAGGTGGAGGAAAATAAAAAGTTTCCTGCCCAATTTCTTGCAGGGTAAAAAAAACCAGGTGCAGTGACCCATGCCTGTAGTCCCAGCTACTTGGAAGGCTGTGGTGGGAGGACCACTTGAGGCATTGAGTTTGGGACCAGCCTAGGCAACATAGCGAGACACTCTCTTTCTTTAAAGAGTTTCTTTGCGAAAAATGTACAAGTAAATACTTTGGTTTTAATCAAAGGCTAGAGAGTTTGTAATTTTTATAATATAAATTGTACTCCCCCCCTTTAGCATACAGATAATATAACCTGATTAGAGAAAACTGAAAATTAAAAGATTCAAACTGTAAGACCAGCCAGTTGGTTATTTGATTCTAATGACATTTTAAAATAATTTAAAACATTATTAAAGTGAGTTTTTCTGTAGAGCAAGTTACTCCTATAGGAAGTAAGGAATAAGGCGTAAATCCTCAAAAGTAATATCCTATGCATGTTGTAGGACTCTTAACGTCTTACCTCTGAAAACCTTTCTTTTCTGTCTCAGGAAATGTCTACCTAATTGCTCCAGCCAAAAGTCTAGATCTGATCCTTTATTTCTTCTGTTTTCCTCATTCCGCATATCTAGTTGATCAAATTCTTTTCATTTTAGTTTTCAATCTAGGTCTTTGCATTAGCTCAGGGACTGACAAATTATTTATAGAAAGGGCTATATAGTTAATGTTTTATTTTTTATTTATTCATTTTTTTGAGATGGAGTTTCACTCTTGTTGCCCAGGCTGGAGTGCAATGGTGTGATCTCGGCTTACTGCAACCTCCGCCTCCCAGGTTCAAGTGATTCTCCTGCCTCAGCCTCCTGAGTAGCTGGGATTACAGGCATGCACCACCACACTCAGCTAATTTTTCTATTTTTAGTAGAGATGGGGTCTTTCCATGTT